ATTGGGAATAAAACATCATACTGCATATCGCATACGAAGGCGGATTTAGACGGACATGGGCCCGGGCCCTCCTTTTATGAAGCTACATATATAGTTAACACATATATTTTTTACATATTCCACTCCAAACGTTGACTAATTTGGGACCCCCTTTTTCAAAATATTATTATCTTTTATATGTGTGTCTGTTACTTACCTAACACATTCACTTCAATGACTTATGCAGTAAAAACTAATTTGGTGACTCCCCTAGAAATTGTTTATCATTGAAATTGATAAGATACTTTAAGTTAACGTACTTCAAGGGATATACAGTATTTTACCTGGAAATGTCGTTTGTATTTTTACGCATATAGCATTCCTGTTAAACAAAATAAGCCTTGCAAGAATAATTCTTAATCGAGACCGCCTTCTTAAATACAACATATATGGGGAAATTTATCTATACATTTTATATTAAATGGAACAAACTTTTATTTAGAAATTAAATTGAAGCGATAGTTTTATCTCAATTTATATTTTTTATAACGAAACAAACACTGATTTCGACATTCTGAAATTATCAGAAAAATATCCTTGTAAAAAATGATTTCCATTAAAAAAAATATGAATAAGGAGATAGACAACGAAAGAAAACAATTATTTGATATGGACAAAAATTCTAGTGTATGATGTTAACAGTCTTGGAATACTTTGTTTAAAAGTGAGCGACGTATTTAATCAAATCCAATGATTGGCAATTACCAGTCCCACTAGAACCGTGCGTCAAGTTACGTACGTGTGTCATTTTATTTGAAATCTCTTACAGACGAAAGTTACGTACTATCGTAAGGATATTTATTTGATAAGGTTCTTTATGTTTGTTCACAGGATTTTTGGGTAGGTATAGAGCGTAGGCAGGTAATACAAATTGACAATACGTTTCAAACTATCGCCTTAACTTACCATGAGAACAAACTGTCTCTGCATATTTGAGCACGAATTTCGTCAATAACTTAAATAGACAATTTACAGTGAAAAACGTTTGAATTTCGTCAGCTCATCTTGTCAAAAATGTAAAGGGATGACAGATCTACAGTGTGTATTTGAATAGTTCAGTAATTTGTTAAACACCGCAAGTGGAGTTTTCACCTTATGATACGATAGTATGTAACGTAACGAAATTGTCCCAAAACATATAAGAGATCCCCATTTCAATAAATCTTTCGAAAAAGGTCCGACTCTACTTTTGTTGAAATTAAACGAGTCGGCTTCAGTACTAGATTTGGATGGATATGTTTTTATCTGGATTCGTATCTTTCAAGAAAACGTGTAAAATATCGATTTCGTCATTTAACATGTTAAAGGTGAGTTAATGGTTTCTTATTATACGGTCAATAGCATCTCATTTTTGCGTTTATTGTTTTCTGTTTGGTATTTAATTAATAATAAAGATCCATTTTATAACATCTTGTGATCCGTTTATTTGGCAATCGCCAATGACAGTCAGCAGGGTTTAAGAACATTCGTTGTTCGACCTGTTAGTCAAATGCGTTTTGTTAAATATACTTTTTCACTTTTTTGGTCTTTTGGAAAATATTGTTTGTGCTGTATTTAGACCCCTCTAACAAGAAATTTGTTTTGCATGCACACGTATAAAAATTGCGGTTTTTATAGAACGCAATCATAGGTTTGAACGTTGTTTTCAATTTAGACTCATTTAAACAATTAGTATATGTTACAAAATAATATCTTAATTTTGCAAATATCCAAATGAATAAAACTAATTTCGATGAGAAAATCAAATATATAATACATGTACATGTGTAACTATGAACACAATACATGTTCATCACTTCTCAAATGGTTTAAAAAAAAAGTACATTTAATGTTTACAGGTGTTGCCATTCAATCCAATTAAAATGCTTTGTAAACAATTTTGGTTTTATTTTCAATTCTTTCAGTAACTGCCATCTCTGTTTTTCTAAATGTGTTCAAAATGACATTTCTATTAAATAAAACCATCTTCTTTCAAAATCAAGATGCTCTGCTTCTGTGTTAATTTTCTTTGAATGACTAATAGTTTGGACTGATCATGAGATCTCGAAAGTATATCCAGTACAATTCATGTAGATAAATATCATTTGCAGGACAGTTTATTGTAGGAATGCTTATCAGTCAAAACATGTATTTGGCTACGCCACTTTCAGCGATATTGGCTATATCATAGTTGAGGAAGCCGGATTGCCAGGAAAAAACCACCGCTCTTTAGCGGGAAAAGTTGCAATCATGGTCACTTATATTGGATTATTATGTTATTTGTGTTAAAACGTTTCTCAAGTTTTAACATATTTGAGTGACATGAAAAATATGGGGGCAAATACAGTTACCGTTCGTTTTTGAGTGCATGACATTCTAAAATATAATGATATTCGTCTCCTGTCTCTGATATGTCGCAAAGTGTGCATTTTCTCTCTGATCTTTCTACATTTGTCCATCGACCTCTTGCGATTGGTAAATCATGATTTATTGTTCTAATTTTACAAAAAGTCATCTTTATTTGGAAGTGTTTGTAAATAATCTTCAACTGTTAAATCCAGCTTGAACTTTTTATAATTCAATATTTTAGGGTGTTTTGAATTTCCTAAAGACATGTTTGCTAAAATTGATCTGAAAGTTTAGAAGTTTTACCGCTGCAACTAACCATTTTGAGTTATTACCATTTTGTAGTAGGAAGATATTTGAGAAACCGCATTTATTGAATATACTACTTACATTTTTCACCCAATTTATTTCTTGTTTATTGGTCGTGTGTTAGTAAAGTGCTAGTCTGTAAGCTATGCTAGACAGCTTAACGTTGTTAGAAACCAGCTTCTAGCTTTAATCGAAATGTTAAATTGGTGACGCCCCGTTTCCCTATAATCAATTATGTCTGGAGTATATGGAGAAGATGTTTCAAGAATTTCAAATAAACCTTTTCAATTACCCTCCCCCCACCCCCTCTTCCGCCCACATTCTTTTTTTTGAGCATCGAATATTATGATTGACAACATGACTAGTGAACACCCACTAAATGGAAACTTATTGATAGATGAAGAAAGTGTTGTTTGAACCAATTATTTGGTATAACCGTACGGCCTTCAACAATGAGAATAACCCATACCGTATATTCGGCTATAAAAGGCCCCAACATGAAAAATTAGAACACAAATGGCCTATCTTATAACAAAATAATTTCCAACAACCAACAGGCTCCTGACTTGGGACATGCACATACAGAATGTGGCGGGGTAGCAATAAACAAATTATATGCTTAAACAATTTGGGAACTCCGAGGAAAAAATATTTAAGTTTACTTTGCCTATAATTTGGAGTCAGATTTTTAAGTGTCTGGATGGAATTGCATATTTAAAAAAAAGGAATTCAACATAAGACATTTTTCTTCAAAATGTATGATTTTAACAGGTAAATAACATTAAACGTGACTAAATGACACTACAGGTGCCTTATTATCCTTCACCTGGTCAAGTAAGCTTTAATTGAGAAAATTCAAATACTAAAATAACAGACTTCAATTAATGTTGACATAACAGGGTAAAAAACAATACAATTGTTATTCAAAGACTCCTCAAAGCAATAAAAATATGTCTTTGCTATTCAACTTTGAGACAAAAACCTTCTAAATGCAGAAAATAGAAATGTCTAAGTGTGATATATGATTTCCAAACAAAAATAATAAATTAAGGCATAATTTTTTGTAATAATTCATACCTATTAAATGTCCCTCCGTAACAAAAACAAAGTAAAATAAAAAAGTATCCTTAGCGAACGCCTAATATGACTTTTAAAATGTTATTTTCCTGCACCTAATGCACACCTATAGCCATGATAACATTACTGTCACAGAGATCAAACGGACTATTTGATCATCAAAAGTTAGGAAATTTATACTTATGATCATGACTAAAAGTTGTTTTGTTTAAAAAAAAACTGCGGAAAGCGCTTTTTAAGTTCATCAGACGAAACCATAAGTATGGTAAAACTACGATCGGTATTGACTGAAAAATCGTCGAAGTTGGACTTTTCACAAGAAGAATTAATGTGTTTTTCTTAGATATTTTCCACACTCAATGGCTAAAATTGATGAGGACATTTGTCTTTAGTTTGCCAGTAATCGGCAAAACTGCTGTCAATACCATCCATCGTGTAATTGTGCAGAAAAGTGATCGAAGTCGTCCAGTTGGAGACATTTCCTTTGCTTGAAAACTATGACGTAACACAATCACGTGACCGTTATCTAACTAAAAATCATTGATTATTACAAGTGAATAATTTTTTGACCTAAAAACTTCTGATTGAACAGGTTTTCTGTATAGTGATTAAGTTAAAAGGGTGGATAGGCTGCTAGTCCGTAGGTTTTCACAAATATTTGGAATCTTGGACCTTATATCAAGGATTATAGCAACCGCTTTGTTTATATCACTGTTGCAAATAACTGTTTTACGGCAATTTGATAGGCTCGGACAAACAGTGAGAAAACAAATCTTTGCACTGTGTTAGTAAATATAAGATATACACGTAACCAACTACTGAATCTTAGATGAAAATTTTACTCTTCAGTTTTCACTTGATGTTGTTTTTTTTTTTTCTTAATTTAACTAGTCATGTGATAATTTGTTAGAAATTAGAAAAAAAGTCCTGAAGGTTTATCTAAATTTTAATATCTTTGTCATAGAACCGGAGCAAATCTTCGTTTGCCATGTTTTGTTTTTCTCCAGATGTGACATTTAGGTTTGCCGAACAAATATAACACAAAAAACGTAATCACGACAACAGACTTTCGTTGATAAAGAAAAATACTTTGAATAAAAGATTACACAAATACTAAACAGTACTTGTATTAAACGAAAGTTTAAAATCTAGTGTTGATGATAACAACGATCAGTTCACAGTACTTATTCAGAATTGTATTTTTATATATGTAACAGGAAATATGCTCTTTCAGTTTCAATATAAAATAAAACTTCCTAGTTGATGGAGATGGATTATTAAAACAACACCGTTCTGTAATATTGTAATGTGTCAGGCGCTGTTCGTTTTTCACATTGGGATTGTATTTCTTTGCATAGTTCCTCATACCAGAGGTAAGATGTTTCTGTTTTGTATAAGATGATTGACTTGTACTTTTTGTATTCTTACACTGTTTGAGAATTTATCATAGTTGGTCTAAATTTCCAGAATCTTGTCAACTATTCTGTTATATCATATCAACAAATATTAATTTCAAAAATACGATTTTTTCATAAATGACCAATTACAGTATAATAACAATTCTACACAGGTTGTATTCCACTTAATTAGAAATATATATTTAATTTGTTTATTCCATTGTTTACAATGTCAATTTTAAATTTATAATTTCTTTCATATTAGGAGAGCAAACTCGTGTTTATTCAACAAACGAAGAATATGAGTGGTTTGAAGCAAAGAACAAGTGCACACTGCTTACAAATGAAAGAAACTTTTCTACTTCCACGACAAGGCTGGGATGGACGAACTTTTCCGCGAAATACTTGCCATGGGTAGAGTATTTAGGTAAGAACACTCAGTATGTGTATATCTTTTCATTTTGTTGAGGTATCGTTTATTCATGTAAAACAAGTGCATGTATGGAACACCGGAAATGCCTCAGGATGCAACTCTTAAATGTTATGTAGTGAACACTTAACGTTCAATGTCTTCATCTATATCGTATTCATTTCTTTTTTATGTCATGTGGTTTCATCTTTACAATTTGTGTTTCTACTTGACGTTCGTTTAAGGGTAACATTTTTATGGGAGGAAGGCACACTCAGGATGATCGTCGTTTACTGCTACAGCTCTCCCGTCAGTGTCGTAACTCAGGACAGTGTTAAACACTAGGTTATCTCAACCTCTGGAAAACATAACTGAATTGATAGGATAATCATTATGATTACTCTCATTTACGGTGTTGCCTAGTTGGATTTACAGTAATAAACTCCGATCTCTGATCTTATGTATGGGATCATCCTGCCAATTGCATAAGTTGTACAGGGACCAAATATATTAAGATAAAATCCAATTGTTTTATTGTATCTGTATATAAATGATACGACGGTAGGTAAATATTATTGTATAAATAAAAAAAGTAAGGAGAAGTGGTAGGATTGTAGCTGCGGAACCGTAGTTTTTAGGGTCCTGTGGATATTTTTTGACAATTTGCGAAAATAGAGCTACGGAATTTTCCTATTTTAAATCGTTCGAAATTGCGACCCAAGATCTGGTCCACTTATGTCCGTTTTGTTAGATATTTTTCTATGATATGACGTACCTATTTATGTTTGAATATTCATTTCCTTGAAACTATTACCTTATTATTTACTTTTGTATATTGACGAGATTCAAAATGGCTGAACAAAATAGGCGGAGACGTTTACAAAAGGAAATCATTAGAAACTTTTGTCAATGAAACTAATTATCATTCTATGTCTATTTTAAGAAGTGGAATTAATTTTGTTCAAAAGTGAGTCTGATTGGATGTTCTAAATTAATGGTTATTTCACTAATATTGAGGAATATTGTCCTGATCAGAATATCATATTGTACGAGCTTGTCTATCTTGTTTATCTCTCATCTGCTTGCATGCAAATAACGTTTAACTCGGAACCTTTCTAGTTCGTACCAAAGGTTAAGGAGGAAGTAGGGAATTCCAAAATTAATGTTGGTAAAATTGCAATATTTTCAACTCATCGGAAATCCTCTCTTTCTCGTACATTTGTATATTTATAAATGAAACCAAGTTAATTGATTGGTAAATACTTCTTTTTTTACAACAAATCTAAATGCAATAGTATATAATAAATCTTATTATTTGATAGATTGATGTTGTTCAACGTCACTAAACTCGTCTGTATCCATTGCCTTACACTTTTATCAAATGAAAATGAAAACAAAATATTTAGGATAACGACCAATATGTAATGATTTACAGACTGTTTTTTTTCATAAAAATTGATTAAGTATTGATTGATTGTCGCTTGCCTTACTTTAAGTTGCAAATAAGTCATGCATATTCAAGACGAGATTAAACAATCAATTAATTTGGTGTGAGCCAAGTCTCCGTTGTTAACTTTTTATACATTATGACTTGGATGGAGAGTTGTCTCATTGGCACTCATACCACATCTTCCTATTTATATAGAGTTAGGTCCACTGGGATGAAGGGCGAGAAATAAGGATTGCCACTGGAAAAAGGGGGTGTGTGGGATAGGATCAAAACGTTTTCCTTACAATAAAGTTGTCGCAAGGGTTCATTAACAAAAAGAGACCGTGACCCTATTAAGCCACAAGGCTTTGGATTTCAGGGCCCTATTCCGACTGAACGTGGCTGCTTATTTATACATATTCCGACTGAACGTGGCCGCTTATTTATACGCATTCCGACTGAACGTTGCTTCGTATTTATAAATATTCCGAACGAACGTGGCTACTTATTTATACATCTCGCAAAGCAAAACGGGCGCCCCACTTTAGTAAATATTACTGCCGGATCAGGAGAAGTACAGGGATGACATTATTTCTATACCGCAGTTAACCCTTGGGATACAACATTATAAAGATCAATTGCACATTTTTGATCATACCAACGGCAAATGCAAGGGTGGAACTCATATTGCTAATATAACTATAATTATATTATCCTCGTTATTATATTGTTTACGTCTAGGCTGCTTCGAATTCCGGGATGTAGAAAGATTTTATGGCCTCAAAAAACAAGTTAAAAAAGGAGAGCAGCTTCAAGAATGTATTGTATATTGCAATGGATCTCAATTCTTTGGTTTACAGGTAATTAATGGAAATATGGAGCAAGATAATTGAATTCTGATTTGATTTTTGTTTTTATTGATATCGCAATCAGATGATTCATTGCTGTCTATAATATATTGACCTTTTTAACAACCCTCGACACCGACTAATGACACCTACAGTTTACAGGTGAAATGAAGGGGTCGTATCAAAGAAAAAAATCATTCAGGTATAGCATTCAAGTAACATATACATACTCATTCGATTTGAACGGTATTATTTTGAAAAAAATGAACGGATATTGAGCAAAAAGCTATTTGCAGAGTCTCTTCGTTTTTTTTTTTTTTTTTTTCTTTCATACAATACTTATTATATGTATAAATAGATTTACAAACCACTTCACAATCAATTCTGTAAACCTTAATAAAAATCTATTGCAATCTATTCACACCAGAATCCTGCGTTCTTTGAGTTATATGATTATTACTATGTAAATGTTCCGAGTTTTCCTTGGAAGACTGCACCAATAACCAGTAAGCGGTTAACATAGTACAAAGTTAAGTTTATGACGTGTATAATTCTATTACGCGTAAATTATAATACATCTGTAATATCAATAAAACAGTGCTGCTCTTTTAGGAATCAAACTGTACATGTCTACATAATAACAATCGAACAGATCTATATGACTATGTTAAGAAGCCGTGCGATGTGGCAACATGTTCCGGAGATCCCTTTGCCTTTTGTGCGGTAGGCGGTAGAATGATCCTGTCTGTTTATCAAAAAGGTAAATATAGAGATTAAGGGAATCAAACCGTGGTGGAAATTTAATAATATTGATATACTAACATGTAAACCCAATACGTACATAACCACTTTAAGTAATAGTAAAAGTTCAATGATAAGTTAATATTGATATTAAAAGACCTCCGAACAAAAAGGGATGTTCAGATCCCCGAGCCCGAAGGGCGAGGAGATTTAAACAGGCCTTTTTGTGAGGAGGTCTTTTAATGTCAATATTAACTTAATCATTGAACTTTTACTGACTTACAAACCGTCAAAAACATAAGAAAAGTACACAAAAAGCACTTGCAGAAACCTAATTCCCCTGAATTGGACGAGTCTAAAGATGTTCAACTTAATTGATAGTTAAACAGTACTCAGACTGATATGTACAATTAACAGTTACCAAATTGCAATGGAAACGGACCGATAAAATGGCAGTACATCATTTAGTTATTTATTCATTATAAATTTGTTAGCATTAAAATAACACCAAATGATAGTTTTACAAACTTAGGGGGTAAATTCATATTTTTGAATCCAACTTTTCGAAATAACGATTTCTTATTTAATAAATGAGGCAATCAAAACCCTATACAGACCTCATTTATAACTGACCAATGAATATTCTACACAACAACGTCTTGTTATATATATTTGATGTTTTTAATCTGTCAGTAATCATGAAATAGATTCGTAAAGACCAGATCTTAGAAAACAGTAAGTAAATTCTTTCGACAATTAACTTTTTAAACTGCTTGTTTCAGAATTACTAATCGAACAGACCTAGATGTATAAGGCCCTTCACAATATTCATCCGGTAAACGTTCATTTTGTTTTTGATTCTGTAATTTGCCAACACTACGTTACATGCGAATGCAAAATAATTAGTGTTGTCTGTTCAGTCCAATTAATTAATGGATCTTGCTTTTTTTGTTTTTTTTTTTTGAATAAAAACTAATATTATGCATGCAAACTTCATTGAAAAAAATCGTATTAAAAAACCTAATTGTAACATATATAGCATTAACAAGGTTTCACTGGTCAGATCAAAACGTGTTGAGTTGAGATATTTTCGCAAGTTCAATGTATTATATAAAAACAAACTCTTAAACTTACTTTAAATAAAGCTAATACTAACAATGACCACTGCCCTTTCCTCGATCTTGATATCTATATCATTAACGGAAAGCTTAATACTAAAATATATGATAAAAGAGATGATTTTTCATTTCCTATCGTTAATTATCCATTTTTAGATGGTGACGTTCCCTTGTCACCATCTTACGGTGTTTATATATCTCAACTTGTACGATTCGCTCGTGTATGTAACAATGTTTTAGATTTTAACGAGAGAAATGTATGTATTACTGAAAAATTATTACACCAGGGTTTTCGATATCACAAACTAGTCAAAACATTTACTAAATTTTATCATCGGTATAAGGACATCATTCGTAAATATAGCTCAACATGCAGACTTCTTATACGTTCAGGTATTTCACATCCAATTTTTTATGGAAATATTCTTTATAAAGCACAAAAATGTCAGTATTCACCTCTGAAACTAACAAAACCTTTAAATAGACTTATTAAGAAGGGATATAGTTACGATACTGTTGTCAGGTCATTAAAGATTGCATATTTTGGCGTTGATATTGATTCACTTATAGGGTCTTTGCATCTGCACTAAACACATTTATTTAAAAACCAGTTGTTGGCATGACACGGGTTATGTTCTTCTCATATATGTTATGATGGTATGATACTAAACCCCTAACGGGAAGGATTGTGCCTGATATTCATATGATGAAGACATAATCTTTCAATTAGTTTAATTGAAGTCTGGAGCTGGCATGTCAGTTAACTGCTAGTAGTCTGTTGTTATTTATGTATTATTGTCATTTTGTTTATTTTCTTTGGTTACATCTTCTGACATCAGACTCGGACTTCTCTTGAACTGAATTTTAATGTGCGTATTGTTATGCGTTTACTTTTCTACATTGGCTAGAGGTATAGGGGGAGGGTTGAGATCTCATAAACATGTTTAACCCCGCCGCATTTTTGCGCCTGTCCCAAGTCAGGAGCCTCTAGCCTTTGTTAGTCTTGTATTATTTTTAATTTTAGTTTCTTGTGTACAATTTGGAGTTTAGTATGGCGTTCATTATCACTGAACTAGTATATATATTTGTTTAGGGGCCAGCTGAAGGACGCCTCCGGGTGCGGGAATTTCTCGCTGCATTGAAGACCTGTTGGTGGCCTTCTGCTGTTGTCTGTTCTGTGGTCGGGTTGTTGTCTCTTTGACACATTCCCCATTTCCATTCTCAATTTTATCTTTTATGCTAGTCGTCCGTTATTCCCTTTTCTTGTCTAAATGAAGCAAAAACACCTGAAAAAAACTTTACCTATCTTAGTTTTACCCTTGCCTGACAAAAAATCATATGTTATAAATCGTATTAAAACATTAGATAAGAAGCATAGTAAAAAGTATTTAAAACTTTTTTATAAGCAGTCAGTAATGTAATAAATTGAAGAGAAAAAAAAACCCAAAAACATAAAAATTTAAATGGAAATTGTACATTATAGAATTTTACAAGATCTAGTCTTTGTGTGCTAGGTACATGGAACAATTTATGAAGTTGATTGATTTTTGTTTACTTTACGTCCAGTGGCAAATATTTCATGCATGTTCATCACTATAACAAATAGATTTAAATAAAATGGGTAGGTCGTGCAATAGGAGGTCAACAGTGAGGTTGGACGTGAAACTTTAAAATGCCACTGGAAAATGAGGGTATATTGAATAAGAACAAAAATTTTGACTTGCAACAGCTGGCCACATTCGGACCACTCAAATAACTGGTGCAAGAGTTTTTAATTTGCCGAGAGCGTTGATCCATGAAATCTTCTCTGAAGTCGATCATCGATGTTTACGTGTAGTTTGAAATATCATTTTACGCATCCAATTTAGGTTAGATACTTTTAGCTCGCTTTAGTAACTGTGAGAATTCTGTGAAACTGATTTTGTTTATTGTACTTGATTTATTTTGGTATGATAGTCTGTACTACCGCTCTCCTGGTTGGTCTCGTGTGAGGGTGTTCGCCTCGAGAGCGGGAGGTCGTTTGTTCGAATCCCGACCGGACCAAACAAAGACGTTAAAACTGGTATTTGGTATCTCAACGCTAAACACCTGGCATCATAGAGTAAGAGCACAGACTGGTCGGCTCAGAGTCGGAAATGTGTCCGGGTCGTGTGACTTTTCTTACTGCGAACTAATATCTTGTAAAATTACACGTTAAAAAAAAACCGACTCAGCGTGTCAGTCTAGTAAAAGGCGGGGTTAATACTCATATCATATTAACATGCTAGCGTCCTGAATATTCATTTTATTTGCCGCTGGTCGTCATCAATTATCATCATTAATTTACCATTATATTATACAGTGAAGTGTTTTTCTTCTACTGGTTTATAGTACAACTTCTTAAATTTTTCACCGATCAAAATTAAAATTGGGCAGGTGAAATTTTTTAACCAAACACTTCTTGTGATTGTTGGAATACCTTTGACGGTAAATAATATTAAATCAAATGTGCCTTTTGGGATATATAATATTTGACGGTAAATATTATTGAATTAACTCCGTATAACTATTATTTAGTCATGGAGCGGTTTTGAGCTTTTTATTCTGTATACGCATCTTTCTATAAAAACTGAATGTTGAATCTTAATGTTTTGATTTGTCTGTGTCTTTGGGTTGCTGTCGCATTAATGTATACCTTTATATCCTTTTATTCAAAACAAAATGATTCACTTGGGTATAGAGATATTGACATGTCTGGACCTCTCCCGTCCCCAAGTATACCCTTGTCTTGGGTGCGTTCGTTTGGCTTATCGGATATATAAATGCGCAGCTTTGTCTGATCGAAATAGGAATGTATTTCCGATGACTGGTGTAGTGGGAATTTCACGCTATCTATACGTTAAAAACATTAGAGGGAAATACGATCTACGCACGAGTTGAATGCTTGAAATGTGTAAACAACAAGAAAGATTGGCTAAATCTTTTCAAATAAGTCGCATGGCTGATTTTAACACATTTTTTGCCACTTTTGCCAGGACAATTGTAAATGAAAAACATTTAACAAAACCGATTAGCAAGACAATATCTAAAAAGAAAATAAATGAAACGCTCAAAATAAGTTGAATCCTTATATAAATTAATGTCAACATTTGTTTTATCCATTTTTGCTTTTATGTCAACTATTATACCAGTCTGAGATATAAATACTTTAAACAGCAAATGTTGTCACCTAGACGAGACAGTCGTCATTGTACGCTGCAATATAAGAGTAATTGTCACTCAATGAAGATTGTTTTTCTGTTCTGATCCCCTCTCCTATTAGTTTTGCTGGAAATGATACAATGTAACCTCTGATGTGTACTACGACAACGTTTTTTAATGTTAAAAAAAAAGATTAAATGCAAAGAGAAAAATGATGGAAGAAATGCTAAGATTTACGCTTAAAAATGCAAATGTAAATAAAATTGAAATAAATAAAATTAGGAAAACTGTAAGAGACAATTATCAACTGAAGACAAATGATTATACATCACTAAATGAAGCTGGTAAATTAATTGCTCCATTAATGTAAAGTGGCAAATATGTCATGCATATTCACGACGAGTGGATCAACCTGGGCCAAATGATTACAATTTTAGAGTGGCACTTTTTACAATAAGGTAGAGCGTTCCATTGAGGCAAACGTATGCCGTAATAGAATACAGTTGAACCATGGTCGAAGTCGTAAGTTAAGCTATTAGCCCTCCTTCCCTTTTTTTTCCACGGTAGACGAATGTCAAAAACAAAACGTCATGAATTTACAATCAATAACGGCCACTATAAGTAAATGAGATATATGAATTTTTTTATAAACAAATTCCTATTGCAGCCAACATATCCCGGTTCGAGACAGGTTAGTATTTCCACTAAAATACCGTTTGATTATTGACCGGAGATATTAAAGCAACCAAAAGCACGTTGAATCAAAAAAAATGTAAATTATGGTATTTTGCTTGGTGTTTTCCCGATCCTATTTCGGACCCCCTGATTTTAAGAGGGCGTATCTAATTAGTCATGCCCGATTAACTTTTAGTAAATTGAACCTCAACTTAAAGACCTATACACCGGGTAAATAAGTTCGAGGTACAATAAGTAGACAATAGAAAACCTTTGTGAAATGAGATCGTCCCAGGTCTCTTAGATAATTATTTTGCGTTGAATAACAATAAAAAATGCTTTAGCAGGTTTGTAACATAGTTAAAAGACTCGCACCTTTCCGAAAGGCCAATGCCGAAGTTTTCAAGAATTATGCAAATGACTTTTTTTTTGGCAAACTAATCAATCTCTGTCATTGAGTATATATGTTTATGACAATAAAATTGGTTCACAATAATAAAGTATCATCAATTAGCAAATCGAGTTATGGGCATACAAACGTAACAAAATTTTGGGGGTTCAAATTGCTCTATCTTTAATTTTATTGGAACTATTGGAACTGTATAATGTACTACTAAAATGTATATATGAATATACTTAAGTAAATGCAGGATGTATTGCACATCAAGAAGTAACAACAAAAAAGACCCACATAGGAAAATATTGGGTTTTTTTCTTCTTCTATTTTTCTTTACATGATAACTAACAACTAAGATTTTATACTGTATCTTGCTATGTTCTCTATTCTAATTTATGTTGTGTAATTTTTTTAATTTTTTTATTAGTCGTTTTTTTTTACTAAAATTTTTTTTATGTAATGTTCCTTTCTGCATTGTTGTTATAGAGGGGCCTCGGTGGCCGAGTGGTCTAAGTAGTTACTACTGTAATCACTAGCCAGTCAACACTGAGGTTGTGAGTTCGAACCCCGCTCGTGCGGGTGCACTCGACTCCAATCCTAATTGACTAGGAATGTCAGTTTTCCTATCGAAGGTCGGTGGTTTTCTCCGGGCACTCCGGCTTCCTCCACCAAAAAAAAACTGGCCGCCACGAAATAGCTCAAAAGCGGTGCTTAAAAGTGGCGTTAAAACACAAAAAATCAAAATCAAATCAATTGTTGTTATAGATAAATTATGTCATTGAATCAATCATCTTTTTGAGAATAAGCGTAATGTTCAAATATTTAAGTCATAGGTAAGTGATGTTTCTGCTACATTTACATGGATGTGAAGTTGGCTGTTTAAATGTGAATATATCTTCTACTTTTCACTCAGTGGTCACTTGATTGACGAACACTAACTACCTACTAATAAAAATAGACATTAATTTTTCATTCAACTAGACAGTTGTAACCCATTTAAGGTATTATATATTGCAATCATTAATCTCGGAAGGTAAAGTTACAACTGAATAAGAGCCTATTTTAAGTGCGTTAATTTTGGTCATATTTCATTGTATCTTATACTTATACCGTATTTAGCATACTATTGGGAAATTCCCTATATTTGATACTAAATTCAGTGCATTTTGGTGGGGAAAATGAAACAATGAGTTTTACAAAACAAAAAATTACATTGTGTAAAACCCATTATCGTCGCAGCTGCTACAGATTTAACTTAGGTCATATTGACTGGTCTATACCTCAGGTCTTACGAATAAACCGGACGTTGAACATCTCAATAAACTATTAGAACTGCTAGAAAATTATAACCTTCAGCAAATAGTTAATACACCAACTAGAAAAAAAGAATATTAGACTTAATCCTAGTTAAAAATCCAACAACAATCAATAAAGTAAATACACTTCCCCCACTAGGACTAAGCGACCATGACATTGTCTACACAGAAACAGACACTTGGCTACGTAAAGTAAGACAACATCCAAGAAAAATCCTTAAATACGATAAGGCAAACTGGGAAAATATAGAAGCAGATCTACATAACACATTTTAAGAGCTTACTGATATAAATAATAACACCAAAAGTACTATAATTAAAATGTGGGATTTATCTAAAAACAACATCACAAAATCAATAGATACAATATCCCACACAAAATGTAAACATATAAACATCGCCTTCCCACAACAAACTCAGAAAAATGATTAATAAAAAGAACAAATTGTACTCCAAAATGAGAAAGGACAAAAAGCATATTTAGAAATATAAAAACACTAAAACAACAAGTCCAACAAAAACAGATATGTGCCTATTGTACATATATAGAAAAAAAGATACTTGACCTTCAAACAAATGACCCTGACCAAAGTTACAACAATCAATCAAAACCAAAGAAACTTTTTTCTTATATAAAATCAATTAGAGCTGACAAAAGTTGAGTTGCTACCCTAAAAAAAGAGGGCCAGTTAATAAATGATACCAAACACAAGGCCAACATATTAAACGAACAAGTCCAATCCGTTTTCACCACCGAAACAGAAAATAATATACATGATAAAGGGACGAGTCCCCATCCAGTCATACCATCACTCGCAATCACTACACCTGGCATACAGAAACTTTTACACAATATCAATCCACACAAAGCCAGTGGCCCAGACAACATCAGCGGCAGAATACTAAATCAACTTTAAAGCATAACAGCACCAATCCTCACAATCATTTTCCAGAAATCACTTACAACTGGCTGTATACCATCTGACTGGAAACATGCAAATGTCGCACCAGCATACAAAAAGGTGAAAAATACAAGGCAGTTAATAACAGACCAATCTCTCTCACTTGTATCAGTTGTAAACTATAGTAGTAGTAGTGTATATTACAAGAGCCTTTATTGTGTTTAATCAGCATCTTCATAATTTACCAGTAAGTCTTAGAGTTCGAAGCATCATCTAATATTGTATTTTTCTAACTATTATCTTTCGATTATTTTTTCATATCATTCGCTGGGTGTTTTTTTATCTCTGTAATGTGCTTCCTCATTATGTAAAGTAGGACTTGCATACAATTTAAGTACTGCACAGATTAGATTAACTCGGCAGAATGAAGTTACGATTCTAACAAAGAGTACTAGTAATTGTTTCATTGCTAATATATTCTTTTCATTTTCTTCAGTTATCATTGATACCAATCCTAAATACAAAAAGGACAACATCGGAAACTGTTTGGAATATAAAAAAAGTAATGGGAATTTCAAAGCAAATAAATGTTCAACAAAATTGTATCCAATATGTTTCAATGGTAAGTGCAAACATGTTATAATTACATTATGCTTATCTTTTGAATATCGTTTTCTCTGTGATTACATGTATTCGTTAGCCTACCATTCAATGATCTTCAGATCCATCTATCTGGTGGCATACATGTCATGACCATACCATAAACGTGTCTGTGGGTGTTGTTGTTTTGTTGGGGATTGTTAGTTGCCCTACCATTCAATGATCTTTAGATCCTTCTGTTATGGTAGCATACATGCCATGACCATGTTATAAATGTGTGTGTGGATCTTCCGGAAGTGTGTGTGTGTGGGAGGGGGGGAGGAGGTAAGTGTTCGTGTTCGTTGGCCTACCATTCAATGATCTTTAGATCCATTCATTTTGATAGCATACACGTCATGACCATGTCAAAAGTGGGGGTGGTGGTATGGCTTAGTGCGGCTGTGTGTGGGGGGGAGGAGTGTGCGTTAGTGTGGGTCGATGGGTGTGGGTTGGAATTGAGGGGTTTGTGTTAGCGTGTGGGACAACATACCTGTATTCAGACTTTTAACAATTCCTTTGTAAAGCTTACTTATTCCATTTCGAAAATCTATGTTCAATAACCTAAGCGGCAAAGAATATTGAACAGATGTCTTGTCGATGATAAAAAAGACAATTCAAAGTCATATTATATTATTTACTACAAACTACGATAATTAACATTTTAGTCAAATGAAATAGAAAAGTGGCGCATAGACATTCATTGTTAATTTCAAACTTATTTTGTGTTGACTGTGTTTTGTTTCTGCACTTTACATTATCAATTTTATTGTTAGATTAATGCATTTTCAGATAAGGAAAACATTTTGAAAATAGGAAATAAAACTGAATCTAACTGGAAAGATGCCTTTAACAACTGTCCATTCCAGTACCTGGCTAGCTATAGAACAGTAGTAGCCAAAGGCAGTGCATTTCATCGCGATGCAACATTTTGGCTTTCTAATACAAGGCGATGGCAACGAATAAAGGGTAAGCAAATGAAGAAAGCATACATTACAGGTCTACAATTGGTTTGGTTCTAGATTATTTTCCTTACAAACGTAGGATATTATTTTATACTTAACAATCAATTAATATACCGTTACATGAACTTTGTTTCACTGGTTGCCACGTTAAAATAGAACTAGTTTCATAGGATCTAAGTTGGTTAGTTGTAGTTATATATTGCTTCGTCGTCGCATGGTTTGATTAGGTATAGCCATGTCACAGTTACCTGTCTAATGTTACGTTGTGTCGATTGGAGAGAAAAACATATTCTTTTTTTTTTCACAACATATTGCACTATCGCTATTACCAATTTACTTCACTAGTCTATCATTCTAGTGAAAGGTCACTGTTTGTTAATACCAAAAATCCAGGTTTGACCTCTATTAATAAAATTGAGAATGGAAATGGGGAATGTGTCAAAGAAACAACCACCAGACCAAAGAGCATAAAACAGCCGAAGGCCACAAATGGGTCTTCAACACAGCGAGAAAATCCCGCACCCGGAGGCGGGCTTCAGCTGTCCCCTAAACAAAAATATGTACTAGTTCAGTGAAAATGGACGTCATACTAAACTCCAAAACATATAAATGAACTAAAATTAAAAATCATACAAGACTAACAAAAGGTAGAGGCTCCTGACTTGGGACAGGCGCAAAAATGCGGCGGGGTTAAACATGTTTTGTGAGATATCAACCCTCCACCTATACCTTTAGCCAATGTAGAAAAAACAAACACACAGCAATACGCACAGTAAAACTCAGTTTAAAAGAAGTCCGAGTCCGATGTCAGAATAGAATTGAAAGATTATGTCTTCATCATATGAAAATCAAGCACAATCCTTCCCGTAAGTGGTTTAGTATCATACCATCATGAAATATAAGAGAATAACATAACCCATATTATGCCTACAACTGGTTTTAGAATAAATGTGTTTATTTCCAAAGCAAAGACCCTATGAATGAATCAATATTATTACCAAAATGTGCCATCTTTAATGACCTGACAACAGTTTCGTAACTATATCCTTTCTGAATAAGTCTGTTTAAAGGTTTGGTTATCTTTTGAGGTGAATGCCGACATATTTGTGCTTTGTAAAGAATATTACCATAAAAGATTGGATGTGAAATACCTGAACGTATATTTAAGATGTCTGCATGTTGATTTATATTTTTGAATGATGTCCTTGTACCGATGATAAAATTTAGTAAATGTTTTGACTAGTTTGTGATATCGAAAACCCTGGTGTAATAATTTTTCCGTAATACAGAGATTTCTTTCGTTAAAATCAAATACGTTGTTACATACACGAGCGAATCGAACAAGTTGAGATATATAAACACCATAAGATGGTGACAAGGGAACGTCACCATCTAAAAATTGATAATTAACAATAGGAAATGAAAAATCATCTCTTTTATCACAAATTTTGGTATTAAGATTCCCGTTAAAGATATAGATATCAAGATCTAGAAAAGGGCAGTGTTCATTGTTAGTATTACCTTTATTTAAAGTCAGTTCAGCAGGATAACTCTCTTTAGTGTACATACTGAAGTCGTCATTATTGAGAGCCAAGCATCATTGTAATCGATATTAGTTACAGTCACATATGAATTATCTCATTATCAACCATGCAATCAATAAATACATATGTATAAAAATACTCTTTCAGAAATTAATGATATACTTATTTTTATATTTACTGTAGGGTTTGTTACTCGTGCTGTGTGGATGCAGTAGAATGTGTCCGCGTGCCCGTAGTGTATGCCTTTATATTTTGCAGTTAGGGGTTTTTGCTTGTGAGAGAGCTGACTACATATTCTATAGTACTAATGTTCTATTTCTCTTACTGTTTCTATGTCATTTGGTCTCTTGTGGAGAGTTGTCTCATTGGCAATCATACCACATCTTCTTATTTTTATATTTACTGCAGGGTATGTTACTCGTGCTGTGTTGATGCAGTAGAACTTGTCCCCGTGCCTGTAGTGTATGACCTTATATTTTGCAGTTAGGGTTTTTTGCTTGTGAGAGAGCTGTCTATATATTTTATAATATTAATGTTCTATTTCTTTTCCTGTTTCTGTGTCATTTGGTCTCTTGTGGAGAGTTGTCTCATTGGCAATCATACCACATTTTCTTATTTTTATATTTACTGCAGGGTTTGTTACTCGTGCTGTGTGGATACAGTAGAATGTGTCCCCGTGTCTGTAGTGTATGCCCTTATATTTTACAGTTAGGGTTTTTTGCTTGTGAGAGAGCTGTCTACATATTCTATAATATTGATGTTCAGTCTATTTCGTTTACTGTTTCTGTGTCATTTGTCACTTGTGGAGAGTTGACTCATTGGCAATCATACCATATCTTCTTAGTTTTATAGTTCATCATATAGCATGTACGGTTAATATTGTTTCCGGAAATTGTTCTTTTTTTCCGCTATAAATTGCTAGTATCGTTTTGCCTGGAAATATCTTCCTGGTACGAAATTATCATACTAGCTCTGATTGATTAAAATATGGTTTTGAGCTATTAACTGGTATGTCTTAGTTGTGACATTTAAGAAACATGTGATCATAATCTTCAGTGGTGTTGCAATAATGACAATTTTAAATATTGTAGATTTTCCACTTTTTCAATAAAATTTTACAAGGTAGAATAATGTGTAACAATTTCTTAATAAACACACTGTATTGAATTATCTTTTAGATAATAGTGAACATTCTTTTTACATATCACAAGAAGAACGTCTAATGTATTCAAGATTTAACTTTGTCTCGCCAACTTTTCAAACCAACAAGTTCTTTAATTTCATTCTGTATAAATATGCTCTACATTTTCTAAGTTTTCTTAATTTTCACAATTATTAGGTCTTTCTACTTTTCCGTGGAAAGACCTATTGGTTTTGTTCTGATTATTATTTTTTTTTCTTCCGCCAAATTTTTTTCTTGCGCTGTATTTTTGTTTCAAAAGATGTCGCTTAGTTTTTTTGTATATAATATTATACAGTCTATACGCTTTTGAAACTGATCCTGTTTAACCGAACACTTTTCTTTTTAAAAGTTATCTTCCCGAACAGTTTCTCTTGTTATGAGATCTCCTTCGCAACCGTAAAAGAAAGCGACAAATTTATTTTTCAAAAATGCTCATTATATCCTCAGGATGTTACGTTTTATTTTGACCGAAGCTATCCGGAGACTCCATGTGAGAGTTATTCCCCCTTATGCATTTGATATAAGGGATATGCATTTCTAACTGGTAAACCATAAGTGATAGAGACCTAAGGACTTTTGATTTGAGGTCCTTGGTCCAAGAAAAAAGAAATTAGGTCAAGGTCGGAGGTCAAGGTCATATTTTCAATTTAGATTTTGGCTTAATTTCACTTCTTTTCAAAACCCGTATAAGATATCGACAACATATTTTTACTAAATTGTTAGTTGCGACATGTCGTAACACATACATTTTGGTTGAAAAGGTACGCTTACATTCAATTTGAGTTTTCTCCCATCTTAGATTTAAAATTACGTGTATGGTGATATAACTCATTCACCATATATAAGAAAGACCTAGTGTCTATTGATTTGAGGTCCCTGATTTGTGACCTTCGAATTGAGTTCAAGGTCATAGTTAAATTTGACGTTCTAGATTTTGACCTTTGCTTTTACTTCATATGTATACATGATAAAGCCATGGCACTTTATGCATTAGGTTGCAAGCCATATGACCTTGGAAAAGCCAACCGGAAGTGACCTTGTGTGTAAACCGGAAGTAGCTATTTTTTGTACTTGTGTAATGTACAAGTATATAGAACCATATTTTTTTGAATCTATCCAATAATACCGGGAGTGACATTTTTCAAAACGGAAGTAACAAATTATCTTCCTTATTTAAAAAAAAATGTCTAGAAACCATATTTTTTTTAAACCAGCGTACAATAAGCTATCATTTGACGCTGGAAAATATCATTTTAAACCGAATTTTAATATTGTTGTATCTGAATGGATCTTTTCGGGTGGAAAGACCTTCAATTGTTCTCTGAACAATTGGTTTTTAATTAATAATATGCATTATATATAAGTTGTTGTTACTTTAATTTTCTTTAAATTTTCCTGTTGTAAAGTATTAAATCCTTCTCTTGGAAAAGCTTTCTCTAATTGGCAAAATTCTGACATCCATTTATTTTTTTATTTAGAGATTTTGTAAAACAAAAATTCTCTAATAATTCAACATTTACATCAGAAATGTCAATAACATACTATTAAAGAATTTTGCAATTTATCCAGTTCTGGAATAAAAGGCATTTATTATTCATCTTAATGAAGTTTTTGGCTGCTCTATTTTTTTTTTTTTTTTTTTTTTTTTTTGTTACTCATGCTTTGACTATCATGTTCAAATGTAATTATGGCAGGTTCTTTCAATCCTGAATTGATTCAATACTATCAATGATCATATAAAAGATAAGGGAATCCTTTCCTTTTGTCTCATGGATGGATACCCCATATCCCTTTTTTCTCTCTATTATTTAAATAAATTAATGATATTATTTTTTAGTTGTTCAAATCTCCAGTAATCAATATTTTTATCTATCAAATTTTGATAGTTTATATGTTTTCATCTATATTGATAGTTTTAGACCACCATCTAGCCTCTCATCGCTTAATAATGTACGTTCAACTTTTTCTCTTGTGCTATTCCTTAAAAAAAATGATGGGCATTTTTTTGGTTATTTAACAATTTATTATTTTTTATATTTGAAACTGATGCTGAAATGTAATATTTTGCATAATCAATAATTGGATATTTTACCCGATATTGTTAAATGTCTTTACCCCCTTTAATGGTAATATATTTAATATGATTGTTCTTCAGCATCTAGTTTTTGACATTCATTTCTGTAACACCAAAAAGAAAATCCTAAACATTTTACTGGTTTGTCTGTAAATTTGATGTTTTTATATATTTAATTGCAATGTTTCTGTTTTTCTAACCAA